TGGAGAAGAATCAGACTAAAAGATAGAAGATGAAGGTTCATCTGTAAAATTATGATCATCATCAAGAGGAACGATAGGTAAAGGTGTAGCAGATGATGACGATTAGTATGGAAAAATATTTTCATAAAAGACAATGTCTTTGGAGATCAAGACCTTTTGTAATTTAAGGTCAACACTTTGTACGCCTTCTGTCCAAGACTAAAACCTAAGAAAATACACTTGATGGCCCTCTGATCAAACTTATCTTTGTGAGGTATGACATTTGACACATAACATAAGCAACCAAAATATTTGAAATCTTCATAAGAAGGTAAATATCCATGTAAAACTTTAAATGGTGTTTTCCAATTTAAAAGTGAAGTTGGCAGTTTGTTGATAATATGTGTGGCAAAGAGTATGGATTCTCCCCAAAAAACGTTTTGGCAACTGTGATTGAAACATCAAGGCCCTTGCGACTTGTATATTGTGTTTGTGTTTCCTCTCTACTACCCCATTTTCCTGAGGTGTGTAAGGAGAAGTTTTTTGATGTAAAATACCTTTATTCAAGAACAATGCCTAACATTCTTTATTTATAAACTCAGTACATTATCTGATCTTAAAATTTGAACAATTATGCCAAATTGTGTTTCAATGAACTGAAAAAAATATTTTAAAACTCGAGTAGTCTGAGATTTTTGTGCTAACAAATATGTCCATGTTGAACGACTGAAATCATTAACAATTGTGAGAGAAAAATATGCTCCTATCAAAGATTTTTGGTTCTAAGGTCCCTAAAGATTCACATGTATTAATTGAAAAGTTTTCGTAGTTTTAATATGACTGAGTGGAAATGATGTTCTCTGTTGCTTAGCTGTTTGGCAAACGTCACAAGGAGCGAGGGAAACATGTTTATTTTTTAGAAAATGTAAATGAGACAAAGCTAAAGAGGAAACATGTCCTAGTCTTTTATGCCAAAGAGATAAGGACTGAATTGATTTTTTTTTTGTTGGAATCAATACAAGTGCAACTGAGAGAATGAACTAAATTGATAGTCTTGCTATTTTATTTTAACAAATTTGTGTGATAATCAATCAAGTCAGGACTAATGCTCCTTGAATCCAAAATGTAAAGTCGCCCAATCACCCTTCCCACAGTTAGGATTTTCTCATTCTATAGGTCCTATAACAAGCAATAGTTAAGAGAGAAAACAAATTTAATCAAAGAGGTTTCTGAAAGTTTATTTACTGATAGTAGATTATATTGAAAAACTGGTATATGCAAAGTGGATGTTAAAATAAGATTGGGAGAGAAATGTACATCTCCTACATGATGTACCATATTGACTGAATTATCAGGTAAGAAAATAAGAGTAATGGCTTTGACTGGATTTGGTTTTTGAATGAGTTTTAGATCACTACACGTATGACTTGAGGCTCCTGTGTCCACAATCCAGCTATTAGGTTCTAATAGATCAAGTATACTAAAAGCAAAATGGTGTGAAATTATACTTGTAAAATCTTGGAAATGAGACATGTTAACAAGACCTCCCCCTGTGATACCTTTCCTTTTAATAAATTTACTCATTTCTTGTTGAATCAGCTCCTGAATCTTGTTGTTTTCCTAGGTGAAATTGTTCCTTCCTTGTCAATATTGATCTCAGTATCCACATCTGCCATATTTGCCATCTGTTTAAAACCTTGTTTCCTTTGGTTTCCATGAGGTCTTTGTACCAATCAAGAATGTCATGGATCTTAAAACATGTCTCCTTGTTGTGTCCAATAAAGTTGCAATCTGAACAACGTAAATTAGATTTATCAATCTTCTTAGCTCTACCTCTATCCTTGCCATAATTCTCTGCATCATGACATATTCTTTTGTTATTAACTGTCATCATAGCAACTATATTCAGGGTATCTGTGTATACACTTTTAATTTTCTTTTGCTTTTCAACTCTCAAAATTATTGAATAAGCTTTGTTCACAGAAGGTAATGGTTCTATTACCGAAATATGATTTCTTATGTTATCATATCTATCATTCAGATCCATTAAAAATTGCATCAACTTGCTAGAAGAGTTATAGTCTATTACCTACTTAACTGCTCCACAGCTGCATTATGGAACTGGTTGCAAGTATTGCAGCTCCTCCCATAACTTCTTAAGCTTTGTGTAGTACTGAACCACTGTTTGATTCCCTTGAGAAATGGAAGAAATCTCCCTCTACAAGTGGTATAGTAACGGACCATTGCATTCTCCAAAATCTCTCCTCTAATTCCTACAAAAGTTCCTTTGTATCTGATGCAGTATGCAAGAATGCATCTACAATGTCGTTGGCAGTGGAATTTAGTATCCACAATTGTACCATACAGTTTACTTTATTCTATTTTTCAAAACTCTCTGATCCTTCTTTTGGCTCCTAGAGCTATCTTCACATAACGACTCCAGGCTAGATAGTTGTTTCTATTTAATGGAGTGGAAACAAGAATCATGCTTGGATGATCAGATGATTGAAGAAGTAATGGATCTTCATCGTTATGCCTAACTCCTTGAACACTTCCTGTCACAGTCTCTGCAATGATAATAATTTCCTCCATGCTTAAAAACTATTTGTTTTCTCTCTTTGGATCGATTGTGCTCTGATACTATAAACAGAGTAAGTTGTCGAACCAAGAAACTTTTCTATTTAAAATATATAATTTTCTTACACCTCATACAAGAAGGCTACTGCTATTTATATATATCTAAGAAGAAGGTCAAAGAGAAAAGAAATAAAAGGAGCACCAAAAATGGATAACAAAAATAACAAAATAGCTGGCTGTTACAACAGAAAATACAGTTGGCATAGCACACTCCATTATGCATGTTGTTACCCAAAACTTAACTGAGAAAAGGTAAGTAAGTTCCGTAATACTTTATTTTTTTCATCTCAAACCCATATTCTTTATCTTCTTCATTAGTGCAAGCACCGACAATTAAGGGAGGAAAATAAAGGCGTGACAAAGGTGAGTGAAAATTAAAGAATCTGGAGGTGCGACAGACTGGATTGACGGCTTTTCTGGTTATTAGATTAAAGATGCAAGTTTGAAAATAGTCATCCTCCTCGCTTATAAAAGGAGTGTTTGAACAAGAAAAGGCAGAGGTAAGAGGTGGTAAGAAGGAGAAAGAAAAGAACGAAAAAGAGCAAGTTATTTTAGTTTTTATCTTTGTAAAAATTACGAGGAAAAGAGTGATTTTTTATTTTGATTTTAGCAAAGAGAAGAGTGAAGCTGGTGAGTTCTGTTTGCTAAAAAAAAAGTAAATTATGTGATAGTTATTTGTGCTGGAGGCCATGGTCAAATAATTCTCAAATTCAATATAGTTTAAAATAACTAAAAAAAAAAAAATTAAATATATGGTGTGTTCGATGCAGGTTCGAATTTAATATGCTAAAGACTCGATGTGAGTTTAGATTTGATGATATCCGATCGAGTAATAATTTACAATTTCAATAGATTTTATAATAAATTTTAAAAAGTAAATATGTTCCACTATAATAGTACTGTTGAAAATAAATATATGTTTTTTACTTTTTCATAAATCAGTTATTAATTATGATTTGATTTCTTATTTAATTAGAAAGTGTATTAATTAGTCTGCTATTTAGATTTTCTTTTAATTATTGTTATTTTAGAGTTAAATGTTGAGAATATTATAAACGTGTAATCCTTATAGGTTTTAGAGAAATTAATTATAATAGACACATGCTATTTGTTAATTAATAATCTTTCTATTTTTAGCATATTTCAAAGATTTTTTTGTTTTCTTAGGAGGTTCTAGTGAAGCCCTAACGAATGCTAGTCTGACTCTAACGTTGTTCAAACTCAGTCATAAGTTTGAACAACATTAATTTCAACAACTCAGTAAATCTATTGGATGTGACTAAAGATTTTCTATAATATAAATATAATTATACAGTATAAATATTATATAAATAGAAAAGCTGAAACAAAAGTTCCTATATTTATTATTTAAAACAAGAGAGTGATGAAGAAAATAACAGTTTCGATCCAACAAATGAAAATATATATATATTATATCAAAGAACAAAGGGTGAAATCTTCTGCCTCCACCACTTTAGCTGCAAGCATCATCCAGATATTCTCCATCATTTGCTGGATAAACAGAGAAGAAGGTTGCATACTCTATCGATTTTTCGGATTCATTTTGAAAATTTTTCAATCTTTAAGTTTTATGCATATCAAACACTCACATAAATCTGAGATATCGCAATGACTAACTGGAAGAAAGATGCTTCTTTTACACGTGTTCTTCAAAATCTTTCTCCACAAATATGAACAAAATTTTCACCGTCAATAGAAGGTAAAAATAATGGGTAAACAATCTTATTGTTGAATCTTACTTTGAGAAGAATCTTGTGTCTAATGCCTCCGTGATGTGTTGCATTTATCAATAAAACTGCACAGTATGCCTCATGTATTAGACAGTAACTTAAGTGAAAATGAAATCTGTCTTTTGCTTCTCTCTCCGGGAGAAGTCTACAAAAATGATTTACATGTGATATATATAAATTCCTAAATATGTTAATTCTAGTTTTATATATTTAGTTTAGTGATGATTATTTACTTTGGAGTTACACTAATTAGTCTATTATTAGGTTGTTTTTTAGGATTACTGTTGAGAATATTATAAAATTTTAAGCCCTACCAGTTGTAAAGAAATTCAATTTTAATAAACTCATGTTATTCTTTAATGAATAACTTTTCTCCTTGTGTATTGCAACCATGCAAATTCGTCCCTGTTTCTGTCTTGCACCAATGAAATAGGCGATATGACTGTTATTTAGTTCATCTTCTTCTCAGTCGAATGGACTTTGGTGGGTGTTGATGGAGAAATAGAGTGCAAAAGCTAGGTCATCAATGGCCAGGATTCTTGAAATATCATAATAAATTACATGAAACTTTGTTTACTACAAAATGATGAAAATTATAACAAATTACATGTGGAATTGAAATAATGCATCAAATTGTTGAGTTTAAAATGTATTGTCTCAATTCCACTTAAAATTTTGCAAATAGAATTCTCATCCTAAGCTAGTTGAATACAATGTATCATTCAAAGGAATTCTATGAGAATAGTTCTTGTTTTCTTTTTTGAAAAATGAAAAACGTAGCCTTACCTTCTCCCAATAGAGAACAAAACTTTTACTCCTATGTTAATTTGATATCTCTTGAACACTTTCTTTTCTAATCGCATTTATTTGAATTAGTAAATGAGGAAAAAGCTTTGCAACTAGAATCTCTATTGTGATAAAAAAGACTACAAGAATCTTTAATGTTCAGGATTCTGTCAGTGTGTGCTGAAAGTGTACCTCGGCAGATTTTGGCAAATTTCTGTTATTTTGCTTGATCAACATTCCAGCTCCGAACTCTGAGATGCAACGCCAGAAGATTTTAGAGAGGTGACCGGTGCGGTTGAAGGCGCCAAGAATAGCAGATTCAAGCCCAGGATTTGCATCAGACCCTGATTTACACGACTTACACCATTTGGGTTTCAGCCGATAGACATGGGGCATTTTGAGCTTCCAATACCTTTAGCATGGCATGGTGACATCTAAAAAAGGATCAACTGGGTCAAAATAAAAAAATAACTGGTTCCCTATCGGGAACAAAATAGTTCCTTTGAAGTGTACCAAGAAGGAATAAAAATAAAAAATCTGTGTAATTATTATGTGAAGCGTTTTTTATGTGCAATAATTATGTAAGAGATTAAGTTATAGTGTTAAAAGTATGTAGTGTATGTGTGTGCTGTTAGAAGATTATAAATAGGAAATAAATCTTGTAATGACAGGATAGTTTAGGCAATTTTTGGAATTTTATTTCCAGAATTTAACTACCTCCTGTTATGTATTAAAAAACATGGCTGTCTTTTAAAGACAGCATAGATGAAGAATTATGTTAAGAAGAGTACTTATTTTAGATATCTAGAGTTTCTCTTTCAAATGAATCCTTAAACTTAAATCTAAAATCAGAACCTGAAGCGGAATCCAGAATCAACCAATGTAATAAAAAATCCACATATACAATTTGGCACAAAAACTTAAACCCTAAACAAACCTTCCTACTTAACCTATAATCAACATGTGATTAATAGTTAAAGTAACTGAGAAAAAATACAAGATTTGATAAAACACCTCAAAAGGTACTTTGATAAGTAGAATCAGTTCTTTACTCAATAAGAAAGTTAACAAAAACCTTCCCAAAGAGCACACAATAGCCAAAGGCTAACCAAAACAAAAAGCTTTTAGTTTATTGAACTTGAACTGATTACAACCAAAGAAGTGAAGCCTTTTTGTAACCATAGGTATTGAGAATTATAATAGAACTCAAAGTCTAAAATTTAGAAAACAAATCTCAAATTTCTATCTAAAACTCTTAAAGAAAATAATAAAATTGAGAATTGTAAAGTAACATAAATTAAGACTCTTCCCTGTCGGATAATTATTTATTTCTTCAAGGATTGTGGTCGCCTTTATCTTGGAGTAGTTTGCTTGGTTTTTGCCTCTTTATTTTAATAATTGTTGGTGACGAAGATAAGAGAAAATTTACCCATGTTTCATGAAGAAAATGACTCTTTTTCCTCGTGAGGATCGGCATTGAGGTGTAACTTATCCCTTAGAGCTTTCACATGTCAAATATGATTCCAACACCCTTTAATATGATTTTAGGGAGAGAAAAAACCGATTAAAACTCTTAAAAGGATGAGGATGGATTCCTTGAGTGAATTACTTCAAATCCTACTTGAATTAGGATTCATGAAACCGATTTATGACATTAAATGAAGAGGGGAGAAAATCACTCTTGGGAAAGAAATTATCTCGGTCATGTGACCCTATCTTATAGGGCTTGGCATAGCTAGCTCTCTTTTGGCTGGATGGGCCTTGTTTTCTTCCCTTGTAGGCTTTTAAATCTGATCTAACATTTTCCTTCAATGATCCACTCTTGAGCAAAAGTTTGAAAGAACTTGTGATAGTCATTCCATGTGTTCCAAGTCCATCATATGTTATGTTTAGCCCTTGTATGCAACCATATGAACTTTGTCCATGGCATAAACATCATGGCCTTGTCTTGGACAGTCCAGGAGGTTGTCATCTCCATTTATACAGCCCAATTAGCCTTAATCTTCCTTTAGACAACCCAAACCTCAACTTACCAAGTTTGGATGGCCCATACCGCAACATTCATCTTTTATGGTGCCAAAACCATGGCCTCTCATGCTTATGAGGCCTTGAGATCCATCTTGGATGGCATCTTACTCTTCTTTAAGGTGGCCGTAATCTTTTGACATCAATTGGTCATGTCTTTCCTTGAAACCATGAGCCTTCAAGTTCATATGCCCATGAATCCTCATAAGGCTGTTAATTCTTAAGTGATCTTGAGCTTTCTTGTGGCCTAGTTTGATTTGGCCTACCTTGGTTCATATCATCCACTCTTTCCTCAAAATAATTCGTTCTCTAATTGGAACCTTCTTATGTAAGGGCTTTATTAACTCTGCTTTATTCGGAAAAATATCCCTAAACTCATGCAAAACAACACCATTGATAAAGAAAGATTAGATAATAAATTCTCCTTCCTTAGCTCCTTCTTTTCCCTATAATAACACTTTCTCTTCTTGTCACCTACTTCCTCTTCTGCTCCTGACTTCACTTCAAAAGAATTCTTGATCTTCAAATACCTTCTTAGGTAATAGTGGTGCAAGAATAAAATTCTGATAATTCATGCTAAACGAATAGCGATTCCTAAAGCCATCATGAACTGCATGTTTGTTATATTGCTAGGGCGTTCCCAATATAATGTAACTAGGATACATGAGTACAATGTCACGACGAACTTCATCAGTGTATCTCACAATAGAAAAAGACACCAATACTTGCTTAGTCACCTTTACCTCTCCATATTCATTCAACAACTGTAATATGTAGAGATTAAGATGTTTTCTGCACGTCAACCCAAGTTCATCAACAAGGGTAGTACTAGCAACGTTGGTATAGCTACCTCTATTTATGATTAGACTACATGCCTTCCAATTCCCAAGGTAACGGGTATGGAAGATATTCTCTCTTTGCTTACTCTCTTCTTGCTTGACTTGAACGTTCAGTATTCTTCTTGTGGAAGAATGTGCTTTACACGTGTATAGATTAAATTAGGAAAATCTGAATATAATAGCTAGTCTCTCTAAAATTAGGTTGATTTGATTAGTTTATTTTTTTGTGGTGGCATAGCCCACATATTATGGGATATGATTCCATTTCTAAAGGTTAGAGCTCCTGTATATAAACCAATTATAATTATAATACAAAATATAATTTTTCCTCTCAAACTACAACATGGTGTTAGAGTTTTAGACTCTTTTTTTAGGAACTGAAACCCTACCCTTCATAGCAGAGTTCTGCCTTCATAGCAGGGTTCTTTTTTTTTCTCTTTTTTTTCTGTTCTATTGTTGAGGAGTTTTCTAAAACTCTACTTCATCACCAAGGTTCCATTGATTCGCCGCTGCAATTGTTTTGACCTGCCACTCTGTACGGAATTGTACGAAATTGCAAGCTGCCCCCTATTTTTGCCCTACCACCACGGCTGCCAGGAAACTTTTGTAAGAGAATACCTGACTCAAAACCAGCCTTAATTACCTTGGGACTGCTTGGTTCGATTAAGAATGTCGGAGGCGGTAGAAACAACAGCTATGATACAGTTGGAGGATGCAGAAATTGTTAGACCTCAAGCCGGGGAATTGCAGAATATTCAGGCAGCATATAGGCTGAAAGGAAAAAACTATCTTAAATGGTCCCAACTTGTCCGAACTGTGATGAAAGGGAAAGGAAAAATCAGTCACATCTTAGGGACAGGGCCAAAACCGGAAGATCCACGATTTGAAGCGTGGGATGAGGAGGATTCTATGATCATGGCATGGCGATGGAACTCCATGACTCTAGAGATTAGCGACATACATTCTTAACCACTGCCAAGGATATACGGGATGCAATTCAAGAAACATACTCCAAGGCAAAGGATGCTGCCCAAGTCTACGAAGTCAAAGTTAAGACGATTGCTGTAAAAAAAGGAGATAAGACTGTTACTGAATATGCCAATCAAATGAAGGCTCTATGGCAAGAACTTGATCATTATCAGCTAATTAAGACCAAATGTCCCGATGATGCAGCAATTTTGAAGGAGTTTATTGAACAAAATAGAGTTTATGATTTTCTGGTTGGACTCAATCAAGAATTTGATTCAGTTAGAATTCAGATTCTTGGTAAACAGGAAGTTCCAAGTTTCAATGAAGTGGTGTCGCTCATCCGAAGAGAAGAAAGTAGAAGAGAATTGATGCTTGAACCAAAGGGAAATGACAGTTCGGCTTTAGTTGCTAGTAACAAAAATAAAATAGCCACTAATGCAAAAAAATGTCCGTGGTTGAGAATGGAAGGACCAGCCAGCCAAAGACTCAAAACCGTGACCAAAAAGACTAGCCACAAATGCAAAAAAATGCCAGCGGTTGAGAATGGAAGAACCAGCCAGCCAAAGACTCAAAACCATGACCACAAAGACACTCTATGGTGTACCTACTGCAAGAAGGCATGTCATACTCGTGAGCGGTGTTGGAAATTGCACGGAAAACCACCAAGCCACGAATGGGGATAAAAAAGAGAGCAACCAAGGAACAATGGGCACGCCAAGATTGTAACAGTGCAACCGCATGAAGGGATATCACAAGAGATGGGAAATCTCAGCCAAGAAGAAATTGAGAGGGTGAGATCACTTATTGGCAATCTTGAAAAACCATCAGATACTTGTTCACTGGCGTATCCAGGTAAACTTCCCTTCTCCATTGGATTAAATGTCTCAAATATAACCTTTACCAACTCTTAGATTACTGACTCAGGAGCTACCGATCATATGACCCATTCCTCAAAAATATTTTCCTCATATACCCGTGTCAAAGTAATAGGAAAATAATCACAGCCGATGGATCATTAACTACTATAGCAGGCATAGGTAGTGTCAAGATAAGCCAATCACTGTTGTTAAAAAATGTTCTTCACGTCCCTAGGTTAACCACAAATTTTGTTTCTATCCAAAAGCTCATTAAACATCGGCATTATAAAGTAGTTTTTAATCAGAGTTATTGTGTATTTTAGGACAAGGATTTGGGGAGGACAATTGGACATGCTAGAGAACGGGATAGGCTCTACTATCTCAAAACATTAAATCATTTACCATTTTTTTTTATTTAGCAATTCTTCATTTTACATTTCATTTTACCAAGTCAATCCAACACTACCAAGAGCATGACATCTCATTTTCCTGTCTCACATTCTTTTTCATCTAATTAAGAACAAATTTGGCTTCATCATCGCAGACTTGGACATCCATCATTTAGGATTATTAAACTTTTATTTTCTTCTTTATTTAAGGGTCTAGAAGTTAAACATTTTCATTGTGAAGTGTGCGAACTTGCTAAACACAAACGTGTATTTTTTCCAATTAGTAATAAAAGGAGTTCTATTCCTTTTGATCTCATTCACAGTAATATTTGGGGTCCTTCAACTATTTCCAATGTAAAAAGAGCTAAATGGTTTGTGTCGTTTATTGATGATTGTACTCGAGTCATCTGGATTTTTTTACTTAAACAGAAATCCAATATTAGCGTTGTTCTTCCAAATTTGTATTTTATAATAAAGACTCAATTTGGTGTCAATATCAAAAGATTTAGGTCAGATAATGCTAAAAACTATTTCAATCAAGCCCCAACTACATACTTTCAGAAAGCAAGAATAGTACATGAGCTTCTTGTGTGGGCACTCCACAACAAAATAGAGTAGCAGAACGAAAAAATGGTCATCTCCTCGATTCAACAAGATCCTTCTTGTTTCAGAAAAATGTGCGTAAATCTTTTTGGGGAGAAGTGGTTCTTATAGCTGCCCATATCATAAATTGTTTGCCTTATAGAGTCCTAGCATTTAAAAGTCCAATGGATGTCCTTTCCAAGTTCTATCCAAACCTACACACCACAAATAGTCTTATTCCTTGTATATTTAGGTGTGTGGCATTTGTTCATGTTCATAATCAGAACCGAGGAAAATTAGATCCAAGGGCATTAAAATGCGTATTTGTGGGATATTCTTTAACTCAAAAGAGATATAAGTGCTATTACTCTTCATCAAAAAGGTTCTATGTCTCAACTGATGTGATATTCCATGAACAAGAATCCTATTTCACCGTTCCTTATCTTCAGGGAGAGAATTCAGTAATGGAAGACAAGGATAAGACAAATTTTTTGCCTCTTGATCTGCCATCCTCACCACTTCCTGTGAGACAGCCTAGTCCCATGGATGTTTCTACCGAGCTTCCTGAAAATGTTTCTCCCACCGAGCCCACTGACAATATGAATCCGACCATTGATAGCGTGAGATTTGGCAAAGGCAAAGTGTTCTCGAGGAGGAAGAAGGTTATCCCTGAATCTGTGCAAGTCCAAGACTCCAACCTAAATCTTGAGAATGAGGTAGCAATTTCTAATCTTTTTTCTCAATTTGAATATGAGATATACAATAATGACCAAGACCTCCCTATTGCTATCAGGAAAGGAGTTAGAGAATGTACAAACCAAACTCTATATCCTCTTGCACATTTCCTGTCCTTTAAACATGTTTCACCATCTCATAGAGCTTTCCTTGTCAGCTTAAACACCATCTCCATCCCTACCAATGTATCTGAGGCCTTAATCGATGAAAAATGGAAGCAAGCCATGAATGTGGAGATGGAGGCATTGGAGAAAACAAAACTTAGGAGTTAGTGAAGTTACCTAAAAGAAAGAAACTCGTAGGGTGTAAATGGGTTTACACAATAAAATATAAAGCAGATTGATCAATAGAAATATGCAAGGCTAGATTGGTGGTTAAAGGTTATACTCAAACCTATAGGATTAATTATCAAGAAACTTTTGCTCCAGTTGTAAAGATAAACACTGTTAGAGTTTTATTGTCAATAACAGCTAATGGTGATTAAAATTTGCAGCAGTTTGATGTTAAAAATGCATTTTTGCATAGAGAACTGGAAGAGAAAATTTATATGGAAGTTCCGCTAGGTTATAATAAAGGGTTGACTGCTAGTACAGTATGTGAACTAAAAAAGTCCTTGTATGTACTTAAACAATCACCACGAGCATGGTTTGAGAGGTTTGCTAGAGTAATGACAGCTATGGGATATAGGCAGAGTCAAGAGAATCACACTTTATGTAATAAACACTCATTTAAAATTACAGTCCTATTGGTATATGTTGATGACATAATTGTGACCGGTGATGATGATAGGGAGAGAAAACTTCTAAGTCAATATTTAGCTAAGGAATTTAAGATCAAGACATTAGGAAGATTGAAGTATTTCCTTGAAATTGAAGTGGCTCATTCTAAGCGAGGCATTTTTATCTCTCAATAGAAGTATGTTACAGATCTACTCAAAGAAACCAGCAAAACAGCATGCAAACAAGTGAGTACTCCAATAGAACCGAATCTCAAGCTTGGAGAGGCAGAAGAAGATGCTATGGTGAATAGAGAGATGTATCAACAGTTGGTGGGGAAGCTCATTTATCTTTCTCACACTGAGCCAAATATAGCGTATGCGATGAGTGTGATCAGTCAGTTCATGCACAATCCAGAGGAAGTCAACCAGCAGGTGGCATACAGACTTTTGCAATATCTCAAAAGAACACCAGGTAGAGGCATTCTTTTCAAGAGGAATTGAGGGTTAGTCCTTGAGGCATACACAGATGCTGACTATGCTGGATCAATTGTTGACAGAAGATCAACTTCAAGTTATTACACCTTCCTTGGTGAATGTGGTGACATGGAAGAGTAAAAAACAGAATGTGGTAGCACGATCTAGTGCTGAGGCAGAATATTGAGCAATGGCTCAGGAAATGTGTGAACTCTAGAGGATCTGAAGATTACGTAGGATGGCCCTATGAAACTTTATTGTGATAACAAATCTGCAATTATCATAGCTCACAACCCAGTGCAGTATGATCGAACGAAACACATCGAGATTGACAGACACTTCATCAAAGAAAAGTTGGATAGTGGATTAATTTGTACACCTTATGTGTAGACATGGCTAACTTGTTGATATACTCACCAAGGGGTTAAGTAGTTCAGTGTTTGAGAGTTTTGTATCCAAGCTGGGAATGGTGAATACCTATTCACCAATTTGAGGGGGAGTGTGAAAGAATGTGTTTTACACATGTATAGATTAATTTAAGAAAGTCTGAATATAATAGTTAGTCTTCCTAGAACTAGGTTGATTTGATTAGTTCTTTTTTTTGTGGTGTCATATCCCACAGATTATGGGATGTGATTCCATTTCTAAAGACTAGCACTCCTGTATATAAACCAACTGTAATTGTAATACAAAATATAATTTTTCCTCTCAAACTACAACACTTCTAATAACAAAAGTTTTCTCCTGAGCTAGGTACTCAACATCTTCCAATGATGGCATGTTGTCATTATCGTCACTATCACTTGCACTATCAATATCATTGTTGTCTTTGAGTAGTATGATTATCTTATTAGAACATTGAGATGCAAAGTGTTCAGTACCTAAACACTTGAAGCATTTGATGTTATGCTTTTGATTAGAAGTAGGTGCATTAAAACTTGAAGCATTTAAACTCCATGGATTGCCAGAGTCTTTATAAGTCATCAGGACACTATTTTCTTAAGTCTTTTTGGAAAAAACTCCTCAATCTTTATGGCACAAGCTTGCTTTTAGTTCCGCATAACATCTTCAATTTGATGGTCAAACTGAAGTTGTTAATAAGACTGTAGAATTGTATCACTGTTGTTTTACAGGGGACCATTCCTCTCAATGGGTGCAATGGATTTCGTATGCAGAAGATGCATATAACATAGGGTAATCTTTCCTCCTTAGATGCTACTCCATTTGAAGTGATGGTAGACTAGTCTCTTGACTCCTTTCTTGTCGTCTGGGCTTATCTAAATTTGAAGCAGTTGATTGCGACCTCGACAATGGCAATATGATTTTACAATCTCCAATCTCAATTACTTCAACCTCAACAACATATAAAACAAGTATATGACTGTTGTCATTTGGAAATGTCTTTTAATGTGGGAGATCTGGTCCTCTTGAAGCTTCATCCATACAAGCAAATCCTATTAGCAATAAATGAGTGCAGAAGTGGTCTACTCGTTTTTATGGTCCTCTCAAATGTGATCCAATTGGTTGGAGAGGTTAGTTATGAATTGGAATTGTTGTCACTTTCCAAGTTACACCCAGTTTTCCATGTCTCCTCCGTCAAAGCTTTTCATGGCGAGCATCATGGCAAGCAAGCTATCTCCTCTACAGTAACCATTATCCAATAGGTATTCCTCATCCTTCTCCTTGTCGATTTCCAAGTTACGCCCGGTTTTCCATGTATTGTCTCCGTCAAAGCTTTCATGGTCAGCAAGCTGTCTCCTCTACATTTCCCATTATCCAACAGGTATTCCTCATCCTTCTCCTAACTCAGTTGGCATCCCACACAAAAAATGACAGTATGAGGTCCTTATTCATTAGGAAGGTCTTTCTCCAGCAGATGCATCAGGGCAACTTGTGAATCATACGGCTCTACGCTATCCTCACTTTGCACTTGAGAACACATACCAATTCAAGGGGGGAAATGATATTAGAAACAAAATAGTTCCTTCTGAGAATGTGTATGATACACAAGGAACAAAAATAAAAAATCTGTACTAATAGTCACATGAAGTGATTAAGCAGTAATGTTAAAAGTATGTAGTTTACGTGTGTGCAGTCTAGGAGGTATTATAAAGAGGAAGTAACTACTGCAACGACAAGGGCAATTTAGGCATTATGGGATTTTATTCCCAGAATATAACTGCTTCCTCCTGCTATGAGTTATATATTTAAAGACATGGCCGTATTTAAGAGAGCATATACAGCGAATTACTTTAAGAAGAATGCTTTCTTACTCCAGAGATTATAGGGTTCTATCTTTCAAACAAGTCCTTAAATCTAAAATAGGGAATGACAGAAAAACTAAGAAAAATAATTGTTTGCCAACTGATTTTAGTGTTCATTGTCCAATAATGATATCCGCCAGTAGGGAACATAATATTCCCTAATTCATAAATTTCACAAACTACAACTGAGGAACAACTCTTTTTTTTTAAATAAGAAACAACTCTTTTAAGTACTCTAAAAAACTCAACCCCCATCTGAGAAAAAAAACAGAGAGAGAGAGAACGAGAGAGAGAAAGAGAAAATTTAATACCTCCAGGGAAGATGATCCAGAAACATAGATTCTGATACAACAATATCTTTGAAGCATTCTCTGTTTGCTACAAAGGCTTTATAACTTTCTGTGCTTTCTCGAATTCTCCATCCCTTCCACAGTGGCAGATTAACTTTTTGTGGCACAATATGAATTACTAGGCCAGGTAGAAACATCTCAGCAGAGTTAAATGCAGACCCAATGTCAGACCTTGGAACAGTTTCCATAAACTGAGATATAGGATTGTCTAATGGATTTTCATCAGCATTCATAGAATGAAAAGGATTACTGGAATTATTAGCAACTTCAAAAGCATTTTCTTCCATGTCAGCCTTATTCCAGAGGGAAATTTCCTGATTTTCTTCCTTCCTCCCTGCAGTAAAAGTGGAAATCTTTCAGTACAAAACACATCAATCCTCCAAAGGAGTGTAAGTCTTTGATTATCATGATAGTAAATATACAAGTTCATATGCCATTCATTTTTTTTATGAGCATCAAAGACATTTCTATGGTAACTTTTGATGAAGTTTTGCTTCAGACCTTCAGAGCGAATCCCAGAATCAACATTTGATAGAGCCTTCACCTCAACCTCACTTCTTTGGTAATTGCTTACATAGAGAAATCGTCGTGCAAGCCTGAAGATCAAGGTTGAATCCGTTTTGGCATCTTGAGACAGTGCCATGATGGCAGCTGCACGAAGCCGTAGGATTGATCCAACTGAAAGGCGTGCAGAAAATTCATTGTCGTATACAATGCTGCAGAGAACTCAAAAGAATTCCAATGAAAAAACAAGAATCTTATTTTTTTTTTAAAAAAGGTAATTTCCTGAAACTTCAACAGCATGACTGAGTCAATTACCTTGTAACAAATTCAGAACATGCATCTGCCACAACTAAATCCACACATGGGAGGGCTCCATATGTATAGACATGTAAATTGGGGAATTTGCGGTATAGCTGAGCATCGAAGAAATAGAAAAACGTCAAGTCAGTGACAGAGAGAAAAGGAGAACAGGTGATAGAAACTAAAATACAACTTTGTAGCTTTTCTCTTGTACAGAATGGAAGAGGCATAGCCACAACATATTGCGTCATTTTAGACCTCCAAATCCTCTGATCTTCAAATAAATAGGGTTCTCATTTGACAAGCTGGGATCTTGTGTATTCATCCACATGCATGCACACATTTGTATTATGCTATTTTTCCTATAAAGAAAATTTCATATGCTGCATTACTGAGCAGGACTTGATAAAAAGGGCAAAAAAAGTCAAAAAAGCCAAAACCTTGCAGCACATGAAGCACCCACTTCCCTACACAAGGCTCAACAGTCTGAATTCTTCTGAGACTGATCATGACGTAAATCCATGAACCATATGATTTTCAAGGCTCTTTTTTCTTACTTGAAATATGAATTTTTAACACCTTTGCCATGAGAAATAAGATTGTGATGTAAACAACTCAAAATTTTATTGATTGAAGATTACTATCTTAGTCTCTCAATTTGGATTGAAACATTTACTACAGTTAGAGAACCTAATTGTGAAAAAAAAGAAAAGAAAGATTTAGGACTCACATATAATAAGGGCTATAGTTTTGTGACTAAAGTGGTCGAAGACTCAAGATATTATTCCTCAGCCCCCCTCCCGCCCAAAAGAAAGGAATTTAAAAAAAAAACAAAAAAACAAAAAAATCTCTCCCTTGAAAGTAAATTGATAGATCAGCCAACCCATTTGTCTGAGGAAGACAAGCTTTGATGTTGATGATTATATCAAAGACTAGAGCAGATAGAAAATTGTCCAATATGTTTGTCGTCAGAGGATGTTGGAATTTGAACCCTGAATGTTATCCTCGACTAGTAATCTTAATAAGAAGACATGGATATTCGGCAAACCACAGTCATGATCCTACTTTATTATTTCTATGAGGACAATCCATTGGGTAAAGAACTCGACTGTGTGAACAAAACTGAGACCCACTATAAATTATGGTGAAAGTTTTATGTCTTTCAATAGAAAGATTGCAGCCAACTCTTCCTTCTAGCTTAATACCATGTGAAGTACCATTTATAAGTAACTTATTCTTCCAAAATCTTACATTGATTTTGTGAGAAAAAAGCTATATGTTTTACATGCCAACAATATTGATTTCAGTGAATGCAAAACCACTCCCCCATACAAGTGATACTTTGTCTAAGCAAATTATCAACCGTCAAACATGCACATACACTATTAAAAGTAAGAAAAGGCTGTGTTAATCACACTGTTTAAAGTGAAAAGACCATACCCTTAGTCCCAGCAAAGTAGCGATGGCGCCTCCTAAGGAATGTCCAACTATGCGGATGTTATAGCCATCACATTCCCTTCCAGCTCCAAGCAATGAGGAAAGAAAACCAATTGATTCAGACTCTACATGTCGATTTACATCAAATACAGAGAGAATATACAAGTTAACAAAGAGTAATTTATAATTTTATAGAAAAAAAAATTTCACATAAAAAATCTACTAAGGCTTTGTCCGGGAGGGGGAGAGAGAGACTTAAATAATGGAATGGAAAGGAACAGAAAATCTTTTCTATTGTTTGGATAAGATGGTAATAGAAATGAGAGCAGAATAGTTTACCTTGTGTGGATAGGAGGTGAAAGAGAAAATGCTAAAAAATTAGTTATGTGTAAAAGAAATAATAACCTTTTTCTTTGTAAACATAATAAAAGGATGAGGGTAATTTAGTTAATCAACCAAATTAAATTTTACTCTTATTTCCATTCTGTCCACTCTCCTCCAATTTACAAGAGAAAAAATTTGGTCCTTTTGAGGGAGAATGAGATGAATCATTCACCAGTCCCCAAAACAAGGTTAAACGTTTCAGTCTCTAAATTTCCCATATCGTCCCCTCTCCCAAACATACCCTAAGTAAATACGTAAACAGGCAAGTAACTCATTTTTTAACAAGAAACAATTAACAATATTCATAAACATCTAACTTTCAGAAAAAAATATATATATTTATAAAAAATATTCATAAGCATCCAAGAAAATTGAAACACTTATAATATTATTATTGAAATATACAACTTTTTCTAGAACAGAAAATGTAGATTATAAAGCACCAAGAGGATGCAGTCTGCATACAAATATTTATAAATCAAGCAAAATATATATAAAGTCCCCAAAATCTTCACTAGAATACAACGGTCGGCTCTTTATTAAAAAACTTAGAGCTTGGAGTCAAGAATTCTTAAATCTATCAAAATAAACTTCAATCCCATCAAAAGTCTTTCTATTCATCTCCTTCCATATAGTCCAAATAGTAAATAGAG